TTGGTCCGTGGGCTGATGCTCTACTGCTGAGCCAAACCAGCCAGGGAGGCTGTACCATTTAAAATTTCCCCAACAGAGCACAAGGGTTCCAGTCTCTTTTCCCTTTCTCTACATATTCTTTTATTTGGAGAGTTCATGTTTTATATCAGCTAACATCACTGAATTACTCTCAAACATTTATTCTCAGCTCCAATCTATTTCTCAAACTCTAGCTTCACATTTATAATTGCATGCTATTTAGAGTCATTTGATTCTGGCCGGTATGGCTCAGTGGTTGAGCATCGACCCATGCACCAAGAGGTCGGTGGTTTGATTCTTGGTCAGGACACATGCCCAGGTTGTGGGTTCAATCCCCAGTGGGGGGCATGCAGGAGGTGGCCAATTGATGTTCTCTCTCATCGATGTTTCTATCTCTCTCTCCCTCTCACTTCCTCTCTCTCTCTAAAGCCAATAAAAGAAAAAAAATATTAAAAATGAAGAAATAAAGTCATACTGTGGTGAACTCAAATTCACTATCCCTAGTTTTTTTTCTCCCCTAAAATTTATTTCTTCTTTGGGAATAATAGAAATCCCACTATTTCCAGCCATAGAAGCTTGATAGTTGTGTTGTCTTTTTTTTTTTTTTTTATCCTCACCCGAGGACATTTTTCCATTTTTTTGTACAGATAGAGTGGGAGGGAGAGAGAGGAAGAGAGGGAGAGAGAAACATCGACATGAAAGGGACACATCGAGTGGCTGCCACCTGCACAACCAACCAGGGCCGGGGACAAACCGCAACCAAGGTACGTGCCCTTAGAGGGAACCGAACCTGGGTCTCTCCGGACCGCCGGCCGACGCTCTAACCGCTGAGCCAAACCGGCCAGGGCTGTGTTGTCTTTTTCTATTTGATTTCACTTTCTTTTTCAGAATTAATATTCAATGAGCTTCCAAAAAAACCCTAGTTCAAGCTTTTACCAATTTTCTCTCCTCTTACTGGTTGTCCTGCCTAGACCAAATCTTACTGAGGTGTCATTTTCATTGGGTCACAGTCCCAGTACAACAATAATAAATGCTTCCTCTTTAAATGTGAATGTGTTATCCTGGCATTCAAATTACCAAAGAATCAGTCCTTTATCTTATCTTTCTTGTTTTGTGTTTGTCTTCTAGAAACTTATCTTCTCTTCTCTTTCCTTTTCCTACCTTTCTGAACTTTTTTCTGTTATTTTATTTTGTTTTATTTTATTATTTTATTTTATTATTATTATTTTTTTATCCTCACCCGAGGACATTTTCCCATTTTTTGTTCAGATAGAGTGGGAGGGAGAGAGAGAGGAAGAGAGAGAGAGAGAGAGAGAGGGAGAGAGAGAGAGAGAGAGGGAGAGGGAGAGAAACATCAACACGAAAGGGACACATTGAGTGGCTGCCACCCGCACGACCAACCAGGGCTGGGGACAAACCGCAGCCGAGGTACACGCCCTTAGCGGGAACCGAACCCAAGTCTCTCTGGACCGCAGGCCGACGCTCTAACCGCTGAACCATACTGGCCAGGACTATTTTATTATTTTAAATTTGCTTCTTAAATTTGCTTTTCCCCAAGCTCTGTTCCTGGCTCTCTTCTCAAACAACACATTCTCCATGAGTGAAGCTGTACCCGCATAGATTCAGTTATTTGACAATACCTAACTCTCTATATCCAGCATAGGTCTCAGTTCAGGTCTTGAACCCATATATCCACATGCTTATTGGACAGCTTCACTTGAACAGTCACAATATGTATAAAATCAAAGTTCTAAAAATTCCCTCTAAAATTGCTATTATTTATATGTTGTCTAGTTCAATGAATGACCCTATCATTTACCTAGACCCTAACTCAGAAATTTGGGAGTCATTCTGGAACCTCTTTTTCTGCTCCCACATTTAAGTAGTAATGTTGTCATTTGGAGTTTACCCCTCAACATCTCTTATTCTTTTTTATCCTCAGCTGAGGACATTTTTGCATTTTTATCTTCAGATAGAGTGGGAGGAAGAATGGGAGGAAGAAAAAGAGAGCAACATTGATGTGAGAGAGACACATTGAGTGATTGCCACCCACACGACCTCAACCAGGTCTGGGGACAAACTGTAACAGAGGTGCGTGCCCTTAGTAGGTGCCGAACCCTGGCCTCTCTGGCCCGCAGACAGATGCTCTAACGGCGGAGCCAAACCGGCCAGGGCAACATCTCTTGTTCTTTTCATTTCACCCTTAATGCTGTTGCCTCACCCAGGTCATCTTCTCATGGCTAGACTACTTCAAGTCCTAAATAGTTTATGCCTTCAGTCTTGAAACTCCTCCAAGCTGCTACTTTTAAAAAATACCAATATGGTTATGCTATTGCCTTGCATAAAACCCTTTCAATTGTTCTCTTCCACTTAAAGGATAAAGTGAAGTGCAAAGCTCACCAAATGCCATTCAGGTTTATCAGGATTTGGACCCTGCTTTGCCCTTTAGCCATATCTCTCACTGGACACCCTTGCCTCCAAACCATACTCGACCATTTTTGAGCAAAAATTGTTCTCTCTCTTTACTTTCTTATATTGTTTCATTTACAGGAAACATGCTCCTTACCCTTTTCCATTCCCTTCTGACTCACAAACTCACTTTTAAATATTTAACTCAGCCCTGGCCGGTTTGGCTCAGCGGTTAGAGCGTCGGCCTGCGGTCCTGAGAGACCTGGGTTCGATTCCCGCTAAGGGCGTGTACCTCGGCTGCGGTTTGTCCCCGGCCCTGGTTGGTCGTGCGGGTGGCAGCCACTCGATGTGTCCCTTTCACGTCGATGTTTCTCTCTCTCTCTCTCTCCCACTCTATCTGTACAAAAATTGGAAAAATGTCATCGGGTGAGGATAAAAAATAAATAAATAAATAAATAAATAAATAAATAAATAAATATTTAACTCAGGCAACACCTCCTAGATGCCTCTTCTGACTCCCCTATGGCAGCATTAAGTACTCTCTCCCTTGTTCTTTTTTTTTTTTATCCTCACTTGAGGACATTTTTCGATATTTTTTTCAGATAGAGTGGGAGGGAGAGGGAGAGGGGGAGGGAGAGAGGGGGAGAGAGAGAGAGAGAGAGAGAGAAACATCGACGTGAAAGGGACACATCGAGTGGCTGCCACCCACACAACCCAACCAGGGTCGGGGACAAACTGCAACCGAGGTATATGCCCTTAGTGGGAACCGAACCTGGGTATCTCCAAACTGCAGGCCAACGCTTTAACCACTGAGCCAAACCAGCCAGGGCTCTTCCTCATTCTTTACTGTCTTCTGTGGAGCATTCAATATATTTTGTTTCACTCACTTATTTGCATATATGCTTCTTTTAGTGAGTCTGCGATATCCTTGAAGGTAGATGCCGTTTCTCATTCATCTTTCATCCCCAGGACTTGGTTTCAATGCTTCCCACAAAGAGTGCTTAACAAATCTTTGTTGAATCATACATCTTTCCAAACACTGTTCTAGCTGAAATAATCTATGTGTAATTTCTTGAGTGTACTTTTTTGTTAAGATGATTTCTTTTTTTTGAAATACTCAAGAAGCTATATAAAGTAATAGTTGAGAACATGATTTTGAAGCCAGACAGCCTGAATTTAAATACTGCCTCAGTCACTCTTTAATTGTGTGAACCTAAATTCCTTGTGCCTTAGTTTCCTCATATTTAAAGAATAATTTCTGTCATGTAAGTGTTTTTGTGATGATGAATCCCCATTTTACCTAAAAAATATGCTTAGAATAGAAATCAGCAAATGCTAAGCACTCAGGAATATTAGCTAATATTATCATTACTTCAGTCAATATATTTAAACTTGACTTTCCTCTTTGCTGGTCAGAACTAATTTTGAGAGAAAATGCAAGTCAAATAATATTTCAAAAATTAGATCAAATAGTAATTGCTGCCCCTCAAGATGCCAGGAACAATGAAAATCCAGTTAATATTAGTTTATTCCAGTTTTGAAAATTTTTATCTTGTTTTCTATGTCGACAAGCAGTATCAACCTCAGGTTTTGCTTAGTGTTGCAGTCTAACAAACACATTCGGTCAGGAGTCTTCCATTCATCCCTCAAGAGGTTGGCAACACTTTCTGGTGGCACAGTAAATTTTATGACTTCCTAGAGTTTGAATAAGTATATCAATTGATATGTATTTCAAATTTGTTGGATTTGATCTAGTCATAAGTGGAGAGAAAACATTCACTAACCATCAATAACATCAAAGGAATGACTGACTAGGCATGTAGTTCTCTTTTTCTCCCCACTTTGTGAGAAAGATTCTTTGTGGGTTAGTTTCTCAGCCATATCTATGACTAATCAAGCATATGACTAATATATGTATATGTGGCTAAATCAAAGCCTCACATTTTTTATTTATTTTTATTTTTTTTTTACGATTGCCTGGTTATCGCTACAAAGCTGCATCACACAATTGGGAAGCAGTGCCTTTCTGAAAGCCATCACACACACACACACACAAGTGCACGCACAGCACATCAGGTGAGAAAAAGCTTATCAGTATAAAATAAAATGGCTTAGGGATTCGGCAGTGCTGATTTTTCTTAAATTATTTTCCTTCTTTTGGAAAGAAAGCACAAAACCTTTGAATTCATAGTCAACTAAAGGCTGAGGTTAACTTGCCAGTAGCAGGTTTGAGAAATGAAAGCTAACATCAGGGGACAGATATTTTCTTTTACAAATATCACCCTATTATGTACTGTTCTTCATCGCCCACGTCCAAACGGCTACTCGACCTATGAAACGAATCGCACCATGAGCACAGATAACCCCGGGCTTCAGGTCTGTAATCTGACTGTGGCCATCAACAGCCAGAAATGAGTTTCTTTCTAATCAGCCTTCCATCAGTCCCCAGTCACTCATAAAAAGGAGCATGGGAGGGGAGGATTCACATTGCTCTTTCTTCAGCACCAGGGTTCTGGACAGCGCCCCGAGCGGGCTGCTGTTCTCAGGCTCCTTTCTCAATCTGTCAGGCGCAGCTACTGCCTCTTTAGTACCCCCTGCTGCAGAGAAGGAAAATTACACCGGGATCCATGCAGCCTGCAATGATGATGTTTTCCAGTAAATACTGGGCAAGAAGAGGGTTTTCTCTGGATTCAGCGCTGCCCGAAGAGCATCAGCTACTTGGCAGCTTAACAGTGAGTACTGAGTTGCTGGCTTTCTCTAGGGAGTCTTTTCTAGGGTGGCGATCATCTCATCCTGCCATATTGTCATATGGACACCTGGTGTAGAGTAAGCATGCACACCTCAACTCCTTCCTCAATCATCTGTGTACCCTGCTTCCCTCCTGTTGGCCTTCAGTCTTCCTTCTCTCTCCATAAAGTAAAGCAGGTATACTGATAGTTACATGCTAAACTTCTTTTCCTCAAAATGTATAAGTACAAAGCAAAGAAGCTCTTGAACATCAATGAAAGGTTGTATAAACCAATGTCATATATCCATAACCAAAAAAGTGTGTAGAATTTTGAGAGGCCATTTATTATGAGAAGGAACAGGGAGAAGAAATGAAATAGATTTTCAGGGTTCCTGAAAGTTGACTATCTCCTCTACCCCATTCCACCTACAAAGCCTGATCTTCAAACACAGAAGTAATCTATTTTATTTTACTCCATAGGTGCTGGTTATTGGAATGAAAGAAAGATTGAGTTCCTTTCAAAAGTTTCCCTGTGTTGCTCATAACTCCATTTATTTTTCAGTTTAACTGATAGAGTAATGAAAGCAACACACCACTTGTTTCAATATTTAAGATAGTTTTTATATTTAAATATTAACAATAAAAAAGTAATATTTTGCAGAATTTTAGATTCTGATTTGAGGTAATAGTCATGGGATTTAATAAAAAAAGACACTGAAAAAAAATTCATATTCCTAGTCATTTAAATGATTGAATGATATTTTATTATTGCACTATCAGACTGTATCAATCAATTAAAATTCAGTCTTTATCACAGAAAAATCTGTTTTAATATTGTAGCTCTGTTTTAATATTGTAACTCCATGCCAGAGGGTTGTATTGTACTGGTATATTATTACTGCTAAAAATGTTGAAAAGTAATCAGGGCAAGTTTTGTAGAATTATTTAAATCAATTTGTAAAAATGAAACTAAAAACTTAAACAGATTTTCTAACATTTAAATTCATAAATATTTGGATGAGATATTACATGGAGGAATTTTGAAGGTATAATGTACCTCTAGAAGGAAACAAAAAAACCCTCAAGAGTTATGCTACTTAAATATATAAGATCTGTGTGTTATGTGGTGAGGAGGAGGCAGATGATTAGAGTAATAAGACATTTGAGGTTTTAATGATTGAATGTACAATCAAATGCCAATATCTGCATAAACATTTTTTCTCCCTCAAGTCATAAATAATAACCTATTTTTAATAATATATAAATCTAGAGAGTGAGGCAATACTAACATGTGAAAATAAAGCCAGTAGAGAAATCAGAGGAAGACAGTGGCAAATCACTATTCATGGGGTTCCAAATCTAACGTACTTTTCTCAGTTTCGTGAGGAAGTAATAGATTAGTGTGATTGTATTATCTCACTTTTTGCCAGGGAAAAAGTTCTCTGTTTACCCGATTCCTCATTTGCATGTACCAAAAAAAAAAAAAAAAAAAATACACCCTAATTTTGTTTTGTCAAATGAAAGTTTCCATCTTTTTTATCTGGCATTTATGACAATGTGAAACAAGTTTCTGGAATCTGCCATTTTTATCTTTAGCCAAATAGTCATTGCTTGGTCATGTGGTTAGTATCTTGAATGGCTAATAAAATGTTAATCTTTTTCAGTTTCTCAGATTAAACTTTTGTACCTAATGATTAGGTAGTTCTCTCCCCCTTCCTCTTTCTCCCCTTCACCCCACCCACACCTCCTCCCCTCCCCTCCTCTCCCCTCCCCTCCTCTCCTCTCCTCTGTGGCTGAATTTTAACAGCCACTTTTCAGATGTCATCTGCTGACACAGTTGGCCTTGTAGGAATACATCTCTTTGCACTGAACTTCTGCAGATAGATTCCCACTGGCAATGTGGACCTCACTGCAGAAAGTAAGGTTATCAATTTCAGTGCATGTCTGGACATTTTTCAGAATGAAATGAATATTTTGTTTTAAAGATTTAATTGAGATCAAAATTATTGTGAAAAATATACATTTGTTCTTTTTGTTATGTTTAGTAATTAATAATATAGTTTCCATATGAGTCAACTAGGCTGACAGATCAAATTTTATGCTGCAAAATAAACTTAGAAAGGCAGGAGTTATTCACATGTGAGATTTTTTACTTTATGATAGTCTGTTGCGCTGAAAGTGAATCAAATCTGATCCCCCTTTTATTTCCACCACTGGATGATATCTTAGAGCATTGGAAAATAGTTTCCAGGGTAAATGAGATCAATATTTAGAATCAAAAGTTATGAATTGACATAGCGACTTCTTGAGTTTATATGATTGCTGGGGCGTCCAGCATATGAATGGAATATGTGGGGGGGAAATCTAGTGAAAGAGAACTCTGGAATCCTAACTAATATTTATGTGTGTTTCTACCTTTCTGAAGCTAAATAAAGCTAGCTCCGGCAAAAGTGATGATAAAAAAGGCAACAAGGGCAGCAGCAAAAGTGAAACCGCTACTGAAAGTGGCAAGACGGCGGTTGTGTTCTCCTTGAAAAACGAAGTGGGTGGACTGGTCAAAGTGCTGAAACTCTTTCAGGTGAATGGAAACTATCATTACATAACTCTAGAAATGACTGTGTGCCCGGTTACACATCTGTCATCTGTTAATAGGTGTCACTGAGTCGTTTCGGGATGTTGAAATGTTTGAGAAAACCAAATTTCATGAGGCTTTACAAGGGAGGTTGGTCTGCCAAGCAATGGAATAAGCAGATTTGTGTGAAATATGTTTTATAAATTCAGAGTTAGGCCACTAGTAATTCTGCAGACTGTTTTCAGGTAGGCAGTTACTAGTTAAAAAATGTGAGCCTTACACTAGGAAATGCAAACACAGGAGGAGCCAGAGTATCTTTAAATATCAGGAGCCTGCAGCCTGGTTGGATCTAACATTTGAACCATGCCCAGGTCCTGGAAGCACATTGGTTGCAATGTAGGTATTCAGTATCTCCTAAGCCCCATGAACTTGCCATTTGTAAAAATGACTTTCTCTCCTTATATCTAAGTTTTCTCTTGCTCTTAAAGAAATGCATTAGGCTTGCCCAGGCCCAAATGGGTGGTTTGAACACTAAGAAAGAGTCTGCATGAGAAAGAGTTTTTGAAAAATCAAGAAAAACGATTGCCTTTTTTCCGGGGTGTACCTGATGGTTCCTCTACTCTTCAGGAAGTACCTTCCTTACCAATGCACTGGGGTGTGGGGACAGTGCTCTGATTAGAGAGGATAGGGAGCCCAGCTCTTTGAGGTGCCCTGGACTGCTGTGCAGTAAAGACATGGTTGAAATGACAGTCAGGATTCAGACCTGTGTTCTCCCAGCTTGGCTAAATCATAGCTGCTTCCTAGGTTCAATTTCTTCATTTGTGAAATAGCGATAACTCTTCCTACCCAACAAGGTTGTTGTGATGAAATAATAGGAGTGAAAATGCTTGGTCCAGTGTACAGATATGAGGCATTATTGTAAAGTCTCTTTGGTGACTGTAGCAGGGAATTAGCAGCCCGATTTGGTAAATATTTTCTTGCTCCTTTTTGACCTTGAAGAAAGGATCAGGCACCATAAACAGTGGTAATGGACATCTGGGGAAATATTTTACACGTAATTATAGTATCCAGCGCTGTCTGCATACAGTGCCCAAAGGCAGGCCAATTCCATTAGACAGCTGGGTGCTGTGGAAGAAACCCTGGAGAAGGAGTTAGCAGCCCTGCCTTTCACTTGGCCATCAGCTAGTCATGAGGTCTGAGCTAAACCACTTAACCCATCTGGACCTCAGTTCCCTTGTCTAAAAACATCTGTTCTGCTTCAACCAGAGGACATTAAGTCCGAAGTGACACAATCTGCATGCAGACTCTTGAACGTTGAACTCAATATTAGTCTTACCTTTATTGTCTGCCGGTTTAGAAAATGTGGCATTAGCGCAAAGGTTAATCAAAACAGAAATGTGGCATTTCGTTTCCTAGTCACAGGGCTAGTTCCTTTATACAGAAGAGGATGCTGTTTGATTCGCTCTGACTCTGGCACGAAAAACAACCTCTCCTGCTCCTGTGCTGAACATTCCGAGACCATCCAGGGGTGTGTCCAGAATTGTGCCGATAATCAGTGTACCGTCCACAGTGATGGGGCGGGGCCTGCTTATCTGGGAGTGGGTTAGGGTGGAGAGAACTTAGTCTTCAGTTAACGTAGGGAAAGGAAGACTCCATCCCTGGGGAAAATGAAACCTGAGGTTTAAGTATTACATTTCTGCTATTCCTCAAACATCTTATTGTAAGGAGACTTTTACCTCTGAAATCTATCGCGGGGTGGTAATTGCAACAGAACTTTCTTGTATGAAGCTAGCCTGGAGGTTGCTGAGGGAGAACAGTTACTAAGTGGTCCCATTTAGGGCTTTTGTTTGTTTGCTTTTTGGTTTCTTTTGGCCTTCAGAGACCCCCACTTGGCTGCTTTTCTTCCTTTGCTTTTCCTGCAATGTGGGCTACACTTTGGCCCCTGTTTCCTCAACATCATTCATTTTCGTAACACTGTCCCGATTTCTGCCTCTTGTACTGTATGCTATTTTTTCCAAAGATTATTTTATTTTTAAATATTAGTTTTTTAAAAAGTTTTTTTTCTTGCCCTGGCCGGTTTGGCTCAGCGGTTAGAGCGTCGGCCTGCGGTCCGGAGAGACCCGGGTTTGGTTCCCGCTAAGGGCACGTACCTCAGTTGCAGTTTGTCCCCGGCCCTGGTTGGTCGTGCGGGTGGCAGCCACTCAATGTGTCCCTTTCACATCGATGTTTCCCTCTCTCTCTCTTCCTCTCTCTCCCTCCCACTCTGTCTGTACAAAAAATGGAAAAATGTCCTCGGATGAGGATAAAAAAAAAAAAAAGTTTTTTTTCTTAATTGATTTTAGAGAGAGAGGAAGTGAGAGGGAGAGAGAGAGAGATAGAAACATCGATGAGAGAGAACACTGATTGGCTGCCTCCTGCGTGCCCCCCAGTGGGGGTCAGGCTTACAACCTGGGCATGTGTTCTGACCGGGAATCGAACCAGCACCCTCTTGGTGCCTGGGTCAACGCTCAACTGCTGGGCCACACCAGCCAGACTATTATTTTATTTTTAAACTTTAGTTTATAGTGGAAACTTTATACCATTATAAAACTAGGGATTTGTGTTTTAGTTTTTTTTTTTTTTTAGAAGAATATGAAAATAAAAATATAAATCTGGGGATGATATGATAATATGATCATTTAATTTCCTCCCCAAATAATCAAGCACACTACCAGAGGTATGTGGACTGCACTGGGAAATAATGATGTTTGGAACTACAACACATTTTACAGGGCCCTTTATATACCTAATGCCCCCTGCCCCCCCCCTTTTTTTTTTTTTTATCCTCACCCGAGGACATTTTTCCAGTTTTGTTCAGCTAGAGCGGGAGGGAGAGAGAGGAAGAGAGAGAGAGAGAAACATCGATGTGAAGGGACACATCGAGTGGCTGCCACCCGCACGACCAACCAGGGCCGGGGACAAACTGCAACTGAGGTACGTGCCCTTAGCGGGAACCGAACCCGGGTCTCTCTGGACCGCAGGCGGACGCTCCAACCGCTGAGCCAAACCGGCCAGGGCCCCTGCCCCTTTTTTAATAATGAGGTAGGAAAATGGATTACAGTCTCTACCTTATTAATAGAAACACTGGCTGAACACCTTTCCATAATTTCATCAACTAGAGAGAGAGGAGACTGTCTTTTCCTTTGTGGGCACTTGGCACCTTGAAGAGTTGAAGGAGAACAGCCTGTGGCATCTCTTCCATTGTGTCCTGGATGTACAGATGTTGCTTCTGTTTCCCCAGGAAAAGCATGTCAACATGCTTCACATCGAGTCCAGGAGGTCCCGGCGAAGGGGTTCGGAGGTGGAGATCTTCGTGGACTGCGAGTGTGGCAAAACGGAATTCAACGAGCTCATTCAGTTGCTGAAATTTCAAACGACAATTGTGACGCTGAACCCGCCGGAGAACATTTGGACAGAGGAAGAAGGCAAGGCTGGTTTTTGCTTGTCGGATGATTTTGCGAAGGGGAAAACACAATCTGTGAGCTAATGTTTTCGATCCTCCGCTGTGTTTCCAACAGAGCTAGAGGATGTGCCCTGGTTCCCCCGGAAGATCTCTGAATTAGACAAATGCTCTCACAGAGTTCTCATGTATGGTTCTGAGCTTGATGCTGATCACCCAGTAAGTGTCCAGTAGAATCCATTCCTCACGCGCTCTTGCAGCCCCACCCGTGTGCCTGGCACTGTGCCCTGTTCGTGCTATAATGCTTTACTGTAGAGCAATTCATCATTTAGTCCCCATGACTGAAAGCAGGCTTTTAAATGAGAAAGCTCCCCTGTAAATACGTGTTGGCTGGAAGCAGGTTAGAAAGATGGCAATCCCACAAAGCATTCATTTTTCAGAGGGTTGGATAGAGGAGGAGATTCTAAACCTGGGAGATTATTTCCGTGGAATTAGACAGCCTGAAATATACTTGCAGATGGGGACCCTTGGAAGAACGATGAACTGAAATTGATCACTCTGTGGGGAACCTTGGGGAGGACTTGGCGTTGGGGGCTCAGTGAGAGAATACAATTCTCAGTTAGGAGCAGAGTGATGGAGTGGACTCCAGTCTCAATGGAAAGGCCCAGGGTTTTAGAATAAGTCCGTGACGGAAGATGCATCTCTTCCCACATCTACCCAGAGTCTATTTACCATCATCTCTCCCCTACGCCAATAAAAATGACCACCTGGAAAGAAATATGATACGTAGGTAAGCATTTCCCACTATCCCCTTCCTCCTCCTTTACATTAGTTTTTATTTAACACAAGAGACCTGGAACTTCTTTATGGTCAGAACGAAGTACAGTTAATAGTCTGGGAGAAATAAGCAATGTCCTCATTTATTACAAGCATTTTTTCCCCAGTGCCCCTTGTCTATAAACAGGCAGATAAGAGGGTGAAATCTGAGCAGATCAGTCATGCTTACAGGAGTGTTTGTGGCCTGAGGGTATGGCTCACAGATATTCATTTTATTTAAGTGGAGAGAGTCTGCAAACCTGATGGTGGGCTTGATGCTGTGGCCCGGGGACCGGCGGCATCAGCAACACCCAGGACCGTGTGGTAACAAGCCCACACTCAAGTCTGAGAACTCTGTTAGAGAAAACAATGACAACTTCAACAAGAAGAAACTTTTCAATCAAACCAGTCATTTGGCATACTATACCACTTCAAACTAATTTATAACATAATTCATATAAATGGTCAAACATCTAATTCAATTGCATTATTCAAAAAAACTGAATTCACTCAAAGACACAGTGTGTCATACTTGCTGTCATAGCCTAAAGCTTCAGAATAATTCACAGGCAAGGCTCCTGAACATCAGAAAAACACTCAAAAGCGCCTTCAGCACTCACTCATTTGTCACCTTCCCTCCTCACCTCCAGAGGAGGCAGAATGAGCACAGAAGTCTGATTCAAGAGGACTGCCCAGACACCAGCTGTTCACTTGCAGAATGACCTTGGGCAAGTCCCTCTACCTCTGTGCCTCAAATTCATTATGTAAAAGTGGAAATAAAATTCTTATTGACCTCAAAGGGGCCTTTGAAAACCATAGTTAATACAACCAAGTGGAAAGCATTTTGGCAAGTAAATACTTAATTCCAGGAAGGGAAATGCTGTATTAAATCATCCCAATCAATGCCTGGACAGTAAAGGATTTCTTGATCACCTACCTGCAGTGCTCTCCTTAGTCTAGTTTGAAAGTTACTTACCTGGAGAAAGGGGGTCAACCCTTCTGATGGAACAGCCGCGGGAACCACTGACCTTGCTGAGAAGAAATGCATTCGGTACCCAGTGTACATTGTCCTGTGCTGAATTTTGTTCCATTATTCCTAATTACACCCACCTGATGACTCCTTTTTTTATTTTCTTTGCAGCCACTTTAAATAATTGCAAGTACTTAGCAACCTCCTACCTCCCTAATTTTTTCACCATACATATTTCTTTTATAAGCCTACCAAATGTTCTTTATGCAAACTTTGATATTAGTAAGTTGGTGTTTTTTTTTATGTTATTATTTGATGAGGATAAAAATGTTGTCTAAGGCACTTTCTTGTGCTTCAGAATGATCCCAGCCCTGAGGGGTCGCTGTGCAAGGGTGGCCCCTAGTCCAGGGATGGCTTCAGAGGGGCTTGGAAGTGAGTCAGGCTGCTGCGGCTCCCCGAAAGGGTGAAATACCTATCTAGGTCTGTGCCTCTTAAACCTAGATGGACAAACAGACCACCTGGAATATCTCCTCAAAATGCAGATGGGGTTCCTGAGATTCTGAGGAGGTGCACTCCCACTTGAGGCTGACGCCGGAGGTTTGAAGACCACGCTTTGAATAGCAAGGATCTAGACAGCGAAGGCCTTTCAAAGTGTGGTTCGGGGTCTGCCCACAAGGGGCTTGTTAATGTTTGAGAACTCATGTCCTAGCTCAGTGATGCTCAGCCTCGCTTTCCATTCAAATCATCTGTGGGGAATTAAAACATCTCCTGATACCAGGGTCTCATTTCAGAATGCTTGAATCAAAATGTCTGGGAACATGCCTAGGTTTCGAGTAGTATTTAAAGCTCCCCGGGTGATTCTAAAATTCCAGCAGGGTCGACTTATGTGGGATAGCTACTCGAGTGCCAACATACATTCAGCTGAGCACTTCGGGGTGTCGGCATGGTCTTCGGTTTCCCTTGATTTAAATTGAGAGAGAGAAGGTGGCTGTCCAGCAGATACTTTCTGGGTGTTAGGGTTGCCAGATGTACCAAGTAAATAGATGGGATGCTCAGTTAAGTTTTAATTTCAGGTAAACAACAAATAGTTTTTCTCTTAGAAGTACACCCCAAATATCGCACAAGTGTCCTGAATCTGTGTTTTATCTGGTTGCTTATTCCTGGCTTCGGCTGTGTCTCTGTGATGGCTCACGTAGCCAGCATCCCTGTTTTATTCTGCCGGTCCCTGGCTCAGTCCCGGAGGTCCGGATTGCCCACAGGCCGGTGCAGCCTGCCACCCTGGGCTAACGAGGCATGATGGGAGACCCTCTCCGCGTGCCTGGAAAAGGTGCAGGTGTTCACTGAGGGGAGATAACTGAGATTCTCCAGGAAGCCCAGCAGATTATGATGCTGTTACCATGGTGTCCGGTTTGGCAGGAACTGGAGAACAGATGCTGTGCTTTTCACACGACACTTTCCTTTTGTCACGGCCTGCTTTCTTTCTGAGATATAAACGTGCTTGGACCTCTGCAGTTTCGCCATCCCAGGCGGCCTGGGGTTACTAGTGGGTGTTGAAACTGACCCCCCTCTGCGGCAGGGTCCCCTTTGTCGTCATGACCCATTTGTGAGTGTGGTAACTATCACCACGAAGTTTTGTATGGACACATGTTAAGGCTTCATAAGCCTGCCCATGAGCCTCAGTTTAAAAACTCCCAATTCATCGCAAAAGAGAGAAAGGGCTAGCTTCCGGGACAGGAAAGTTCACTTCTGCAGGGGGTTTGGGTGGTCTCAGGGCACGCCATCTCTCTCCCTGTCAGCAACTCTCTTCTCATTCCTGAGAGAAAGGCTGTGGGCAATGGATGGGCTTCATTTCTGTCCCGCAGACAGTCCTGTGAAGGTTTCTGGCCTCAAGGCCAGCGCTTCAGCCAGGAGAGAGACTGGACCATTTTCTATGAGTCTCAGTTCCTGTTGAGCAGCTGCCTTGCAGAAGGCGGCTGGGTCTGTGTGGGTCTGTGCAGGTCTGTGCGGGCCTGAGTGGCTCTGTGTGGGTCTGTGTGGGTCTGTGCAGGTCTGTGTGGGTCTGAGTGGGTCTGTGTGGGCCTGAGTGGGTCTGTGTGGTCTGTGTGGGTCTGTGCAGGTCTGTGTGGGTCTGTGCAGGTCTGTGTGGGCCTGAGTGGGTCTGTGCGGGCCTGAGTGGGTCTGTGTGGGTCTGAGTGGGTCTGTGTGGGTCTGTGCAGGTCTGTGTGGGCCTGAGTGGGTCTGTGCGGGCCTGAGTGGGTCTGTGTGGGTCTGTGCGGGTCTGTGTGGGTCTGTGCGGGTCTGTGTGGGTCTGTGGCAACTCACCTGTCAGAGCCCATTTTCCCAGCGGCGGTCTCCTTGCCTAGCCTCCCTTCTCAGAGTGGCCACAGCTTCCTGCTTATCTTTTGGGGCTGCAGCAGTAGAAAGTTAAATTGAAACAATTCCTTCTGGGCTTCCAGCAGTTTGAAGAAACACCTTGGGAAAGAACTGATTATCTTAAAGTACCCGAAGAGAAAGGAAATGGAAAGCCTGTTGACAAGAGGAGAGATTTTTGAGTAAACCAAGAAGTCCTCTCAGAAGGGTTCCACTTGACTGAAGGATGACAGACAGGATGTTTAATTTCCCCGGTGTTATGACGATGGGTAGAAGTCCTGAAGTTGCTAAAGACTTGTCAGAATCATAGGAACTCAGAGTGGAATGGAGCTGACCTGCTGTCCTGTGCATGAATCACTTAAAATTGATTTTGCATTGTGTGGCTGTACTCATAAAATACAGCAAAACCTCTTTAATTCATACTAATTTGTGAATTTGATAAATATTGTGAACGATAGAGTTTTAAATAAATGCACATTTACTGGTCATTTACAGAAAGCAATTACATTTAGGCTAACTTACCAAACAACCAGGTTAAAGGGATCAAATAACCAGGTTTAATGGCAAGGATCAGGTTAATTTGTGATGAAGACCAATTACATGTAAATGAAAACCAATGGATGTGGTTCACAGTATCGATTTGCTTTCCTGAGTCATTCTGCCTACGTAGTAGAAAAGCAAATTTTAGCCTGAATTCCCACACTTCCCAAATTAGTACAGTCTGGGCTTAACGAGGTTTTACTGTAAGCACCCTTCGCTTCCACCTGTGTCGCCAAGATGGTCACGCAAGGGCACAATTTGCATTTGAATTGCACACTCAACTCCACCTGATTTTCTTTCAGGCCTTCTGCAGCTCGGTTTTTGGCACTCTGTTAAATAACTTAATCTCTTTTCTGTTTAAGGGATTTAAGGACAATGTCTATCGACAGAGAAGAAAGTATTTTGTGGATGTGGCCATGAGTTATAAATAGTAAGTACGCATAACTGTTCTCCGCAACTTGTCGCTGGCTGGTTGGAAAAAGCACATGCCGTGTTACACAGACCCGTCTTCTCTCCGCTTTCACTTTTCCGAAGGCAGACGCGAACCATTTTAAACGCTCACCAGCTCCGCAGCCTTTAAATGCCAACACGGGTGTTTGACATCCCGGTATAATTGTAAAAGAATGAGACCTGCGGGCCACATGCCAAGTGCTGCATTTTCACTATTGTGTTCACAGCTCCACTAAGGAGCCGTTTCTGTCCACTCTGCAGGGCCCAGGAAATGTGTTCTCATCTTACTTTTGACTTGACTTTTCAGTAACCTCCTCCCAATGAAAGTAGAGAACTCAGCAAGAATGGTGAAAGGGCCCATGGAAGCAGCTGTAACGAAATGTGTTTGCTTTATGTGGGAAGGGAAACGCCCTTTCATTGGAGGTTATGGAAGAGTGTCATACCCTCCTGGGTTGGGAGGAAATCGGAGAACCTCAGGCTTGGGGCGAGGATGTGCGCCGTGCATGGTGCATGGTGCTGGGTGGCGGGATTCTGCGACAGGCAACAGTGCGGAGTGTTGACTGCAGCCTATATCTAGTCGATGTTAGGCCTCGATTCATTGTGCTCACACTACTAGAACTTGTAGATCATTACGGCCCTGTCTTGACTGTCTGGTATGTGTTTTTTATTCTAGTTGAGACTAGGTGAGGAACTTGACTGTCCTTTGGGGCAAGTTTGTCCTTGGTGAGAATTTAGGACGTTACGTGTGTTATACAAGGTATCACTGTTACCTTTCTCCTCCCTCCCTCCCTCCCTCCCTCCCTCCCTCCCTCCCTCCCTCCCTCCCTCCCACCTTCCTTCCTTCCTTCCTTCCTTCCTTCCTTCCTTCCTTCCTTCCTTCCTTCCTTCCTTCCTTCCTTCCTTCCTTCCTTCCTTCCCTCCTTCTCACCTGAGGACAGTTTTCCATTTATCTTCAGATAGAGTGGGAGGGGGAAAGAGAGAGAGAGAGAGAAAGACATCAATGTGAGAGGGACACATCAACCCGCACAACCCCGACCAGGGCCGGGGACAAACTGCAACAGAGGTACATGTGAATCGAACCTATGACCCTTTGGTCCTCGAGCTGACGCTCCAGTCGCTGAGCCAAACTGGCCAGGGCCCTTCCTTCCTTTTTAAGAAATATGACACGCAAGTGCTTAAAGCAAACGAGAGGCGTGCATCTCACACCTCTGAGTGGGCCAGTCATTTCCTCATTCCTCCTCACTCCTCGTTTCCCCGAAGCTTCGGTGCCCCCCTTCCCTCCTCCTAAGCTCACACACGCTCCATTCTTGCTCCACTGTTTCTAACCCTGAAAGCCAGGACTACTTGGCACACGCTTTTCCACGTGTGTCTACTCCATTCTCATCCCCTCTGTTCCACACGGCTTCTTGAGCCTTTTTAGGCGACTGTGACCTTCTACCCCCTCACAGTGTCAGTGTGCTGATGGCTTGCCCTGGCCCAAGCCCAACCTCACGCCCCTTTGACCCTCAGCACTGTCGCGCTCTAACCCTGTCTTCCAGTGTTTCCCTGTCAGATTGCTAAGAGAGCACTCTGGCCCGAATTTGATTTTCTTAAAAAAAAAAAATTTTTTTAATTGATTTTAGAGAGAGAGGAAGGGAGAGGGAGAGAGAGATAGAAACATCGATGAGCAAGAACATCGACTGGCCGCCTCCTGCATGCCCCTCACTAAGGATTTGGCCCACAACCTGGACATGTGTCCTGACCAGGAATTGAACCGGCGACCTCTTGGTGCATGGGTTGACGCTCAACCACTGAGCCATACTGGCCGGGCTCAAACTGGATTTTCTACATCAGGCCCTGAGAAGGGGTTGTGCCTGTCAAGACTAGCTCCCCCGGGTTCACAGGCCCTCCCTGTGGGGTCAGACCATGCCTGCATATACGGGTCCTTAGAAGGGGATGGGCAGGACATGCCTTTGGGACCTGTGGGGACGGTCAAAGCTCGGTGCTTGGCAGAGCCTTTTCCTTTAGATAAAAGGTAGATAAAATGTATTTTATATGTAGATGCTATATTTAATGTCTTATATATAAGAACAGCATATAAATGCACGTATGTAGTATATAAAGGATTTTGTTAGCATAATGATCAAGGAACTAGCTCAGGTGTTATTTATTCTTCTTGACATAGCCCAGAAACTGGTCAGAGGCAAGCTGGTACTGCCTAACAGCACTGGTATATATGAGTCCACCAGTTTTAAAGCGTCGATATGGGGAGGCTTTGGCTTTAAAGCAAACATGTTTATATAGAAAGGAGAGGACAAGAGCACATGGTTGAAATGAGGAAGGGTGAGGCCTGTAAAGTATTCACAAGTTTGCATTTGCCATATCTCCTCTGCTCAAGAGGGACACGAAGATGTGGAGTCTGTGGGAAACAAAGGTACAAACCGGAGGTTGGAAATGGTGGAGGTTTTACACAAAGGAGGGCTGGATGGAGCTGGAGCGCTCCAGGGTCCAGCCTGTTTACAGAGGGGTGTGCAGCTCCAGGGCCTGGCTCTCCGTCACCGAACGTCCAGGGGCCCTAGGCAGGCAGGACACTGGCAATTCATCGTTTCACAGGGAGAGATGTCTCTCGTATGACTCACAAACTCTCCCTGTTGTCGTGATACCAGAGAGGCCAAATTATAACCTGAAGTTTATTCCGTGGAGATACAGTATTTAACTAAGAGCGTTTGGGATCCATTATAACCCTCTCCCCTGGAGCTGAGTCAGGCTGACTACATAGAATAACAAAGTGATTGAAAACTGGGGCATTGGAGCCAGACACGCTGGGGTTTGAGTCCTGTCTCCTTTGCTTCCTAGCGAGGTGGTCAACATCATGGTGCTCCGGGTCCTCATCTGGGAAGAGTGTCTAACAAGAGGACCCCTCTCACAGGGGGGGATTAGTAAGGATTACTTCACACAGTGCCTGGTACATGGTTTGTGATCCTAACTGTCAGTTGTTATTACATCTTCCCCCTTTCCTCTGTTCCTGACTGTCTCCAGCTTCCAGGTGACCTATTGTTTAATTCTTTAGCTGTGTTAACACCATTGTTTTTGCTGCCACCTTAACAAATACTGTAGTTCAAATGTCCCTGGAAGTCATCCTTGGAATAAAACTCCTTCGGTTTCCCATTTAAAGACTGTTGTATATACCGATGCTTTTTGGGCTGACCAACATCCTTCTTTATGGAGAGATTTTGTAGAAAGCAATCATATTCCCATTTATGTGTGTGTGGAAAGCTGCCAAAACACTGATAACAGATTGCCAGCTGCCTCGGGTGCATCTGGGGTGGAGAGAGTGAGGGAGGTGCCCAGGGGGTGCTTACGTCTGGACATGACCCCGGGACTTTGCGAATGTAGAGAGAAGGAGGTCATCTCTTAGTGCCCTTGATGCCATCACTGCTCTGGCTTCTGTGGGAAGAGGTTGAGGGAGGACGAGGCCAGCCATTTGTGTGTGTAAATGCATGTGTGTTTGCAAGCGGAGGGCGGGGCTTAAGCTTGTTTCTGGTGCTGGTGGGGGCGGGGCACAGGTACAATAAGTCCTTAATGGGCTTGGGTCATTGTCTCCAGCTTGCCATGCAGTAAGTGAGGTTTGCTTTTATTTTTCAAAAAACAAAGCTACAGTTTCTAGTTGAAATAGGTCTTTTTCTAGTGCTAATGGTTTTCTGAGTGAGCAAAGGAAAAGATGTCAATACAATAATTACTTCAAAGACGCTCATTTGAATGGCTTTTGGCAGTGTGCTGTGATCTGATTTCCAAACCAAAGCTTGAACCACCGGTCTGAGAAGCAGGTCACTGGAAACTGGGGTGGTCCTGAAAAACCCAGCATATGAGGTCCCTGCAAACATAGTTTGGTGATAAAAGGAGAGACCATTCTGACATGGGGTGACCAGTTCAGTTCCCTGTTCACAGTTCGTTAAGGCTTTCAGGACACTGAGAAGTTAAATGTATGGTCAGAAATATAGACAAAGACAGAGTAGAGATGGTTTGGGGTCAACACAGGGGTCGACAGGACGTAGTCTGAGGTGTCTAAAAGCAAGGGGAAGGAAAGATAAGAAGCACAGACTAGTATCTGTGGAAACCATGGCCAGGAAGCTCTCCAGGGAATTTGTGTTGAATGCTGTATTTTCTATGATGGTCTTGAAAGGATAAAGCAGGGGGAAAGAATCAACACATGCAGAGAAAAATGAAACAATTCCACTCTATGATGATAAAACAGCAGGCTCCAAGTCTGCATAACCGCGAACATGAACGAGGAGAGGGGACGGGGACTGTGGCAGCACTCTGGGACTCGTCCACAGGTGCCCCTCAGGTGAGTTTCTGATTGACAGCGCCGCCGAGAAACATGATTGATTACCCAGAGGCCCACTGCGCCTGCAGACATGCCCGGGCTCTGTGGCCACAGAGTGTCGGGAAGACCTAATTGCCTCACCAGTAACGGCAGGAGAAACACTCGTTAGTGCAAATACCATTTGCACTGTTTTAAAATCATGTGTGAGGGATGCGGATCACAGCCTGTCCTCCCCAATCTAAATTAGAGAAATTCTAGTATCAACAAAGAAGTACCCCAAGAGTAGCTTTGTGAAATGCACAGACTTGCAGTCACTGTCAGTGGGAGCGTGTGGGGGGGCAGGTGGCTTATGAGGAGGAGAAAATCATGGCTGGGATGTAGCTGTAAGGTCTGTCTGACACTCTCTGGTTTTCTGTCATTGGCACCTTCCTATTTTAACGTTGGTTTTAGCTTTCCTGCATTTCTGTGGGTTTCACAATTGCTCTATTTTTTGGGGGAAAAACTAGGAATACATTTTTTTCAGTTGATTAGAAATAAACCAAATTTTCTTTGGGAGTGATTTTAATTATCGTTCCCCAACAATATGCATGCCTATTTAATTTTATTCTGTTAGTGGTGGGGTGGTGGTAGGGATTCCAATCCATCTTACTCTCTTGGAAAGAGGCCCCAAGCTC